CCATTATATATATTTATTTACTTGAATTCAATTTTAAGATTTATCTTCCTAAAAACAACAGTGGTTAGGATTTTAATGACCATGGTATTTCAGGTCACCATATTGATGTTAATATGCATCTGTTAATTGGGAAGATATAAATATTTCTCAATGAAAGATAAAATATTTGAAATATAAACATTTCCTATATTGAACTATATTAATCTGGTTTTATAGCTCAACATAAGTAGATATTTTTGGAATTATATATATATGTTAATGATGATATTCATGATGATGACAATATTTTTAAATTTTTATTTTAAGAATGTTACTCAAGAAGTTGTTCAAGATTTGCTGGCACAGCAGACTTTAAGAGACCTTCAAAAATATTAATATAAAAACATACACAGTACTGTATTGCACAAATCAACCACCACACAAAAACTAAGATAAAATTTAAAAACATATTTTACTGCAAAATGTTCAGTAATTATATTGTAATGTTATGATAATATTATATTTTGTTTGTCTCCTCTTTGTACAGTATTTATTTATGCAACTGGAACAAAATTTTGTAGTAGCATGTCATACATTACAATAAAGTTATCAGTATTTATTTATGCAACTGGAACAAAATTTTGTAGTATCATAATATACGTTACAATAAAGTTATCTTGAATCTTTAAGTTTAATAATGATAATTATTTTAATAACAATATTAATTATGTCGATGACAATTATTAAGATATCAATAATCAAGTGACAAATAATGATGATGTTAATTAAGGTGACATATATATGTTTATAGTAATAAAATAAAAACTATATTTCTTGGAAAAAAATTAAAAACATTTTAGCAATAAAACACTACCTTATAATAAAACGTCATGTATCTTTTTTCAAATATCATTTTTACTTGTGAATTTTATATTTGAAATTTATGCCAAGCTATAAAGCCTGCTTTAAGAAGACCTAATCAAAGCCAATATTATGTTTATGCTAATTCACTCTAGTGGCTAGCAATGCATATTGAATCTGCAAGATCTATAGGATTGGGTACCATTATATAGTATCATTTATTTAATATTATTGATCCCAAACACATTGTTATTGCAAAAAGCTGATGTGGTTGCTTTTAGATAAAAATAAATGTTACGTATTACAAACAGCTTGCTCCACCCTATGTAGTTTTGTAAGCGGGGAAAAAAAACACAGCTCTCTGATGCAATACCATCTTATAGGTTGAACAATGAGCCACAACAATATAAAATCTTGTTTATCGCTAATGTATAATTTTGTTTGCAAAAAATATTCTCATCATGCAATTTATTTGAATATAAGTAGTGAATGCCAAATGCCTGGTGTATATTCAATATTAATTATTATTTACTGCAGCCCTGCGCTACATACTTTCACTATATTGCAGATTTTCTGGACATTTAACACAATCTTAATTTGTATTGGCCATGCAGCATAGTCAATATCTTAGCCCACACAAGTAATGGATTGTATGATTGCGAAACAACATACAAGAGATGAAATTATAATGCACAATGCCTGCATATTAGAGATGACAGAAAGTCTGCAATGTTGTTTTAGATGCGTGGAGTCGAAAATGATGGAGTTAAGAAATAATGACAATGCTTCTGGTACAAACGTACCCATCATCCGAGAAAAATTATCAACATTGGAATTACGTTAGGTAAGGTTCTCATGTACACTTTGGTGTGACAAGTGTTGACAACTGATTAGGCAGCCATTTTGTCAGCGCTGTATTGTCATGTTTACGGCAACCATGTCCAAAATTTTACAAAGTTATATTTCAGAATTAACTAAATTAATAGATTTTCTAATACTGGTAATCTAATTTTCATTCAGTCTGATAAATATGTATTTTCATGTTTTATATCATTTTTTTATCATGTCTTGGTGCATATTTCAAAGTAACAATGCATTTACATTTGTTTTCTGTAAAGCAAAACAACTTTGTGTTGGCAAATATATATTTTCTGTGTTGAGTTAAATAAATGAGCAATAAAATATAATATATACATTGCTTACTTTTTATATTTATTTAGGTTTTCTTACCATTAAACTTACTACATTATAAACAATATTATATTTTTTTGCAGCGACACAAATTGGCTCACAATTAATTAAAATTTTTCTTACGTCTGTAAATCAGTGAGGAAATTTATTGTTTTGATTTTTTTAATTGACATCATTGTTCATTTCACATGAGCAATTCGGGTTTCTAATAGAATTTTTAGATTAAATCATATTTCCTGCAGACAGTATGCCTATATATTTAAAGAAACCAATATTGATTATGGCATTTTTTTGGGAGTTGAGTAGTATTTCATATTTCTTCTAGGATGCTACATGTTTCAAAGTTCAATCAAGGAAGAATCTTATGAACATACATGCAGAAAAATGGTGAAGACTCAGCATTGTAGATTATTACCACTTCGGTTGAAGGTGAACATGTGGAAACACTGCCCCAATGACAGCTCGTGGAAGAGTGGCTTTATTGTCAAATGTCTTTTATATTTCTGTATAATTTTACAATGCACTGGCACTACTGTAACAAATATCGAGGTTAGGATTAGCGAACCTCCATTAAATGAAGTCACAGAAGGTGAGGAATTCACATTATTGTGTTTAATAAAATTTATTTCATTTATTGAAAAACGAGAGACAATCTGGTTTCAAGATGAAATGGTGATTGTAAGTTATAATCCACAACGTATTCCTCCTTTAAAATACTCAGATTCCACTCCCAGAAACAAATTTGTGGCAACTTATGTTTCTGGTGGTGAACTCTTTGATCAGTTTGCATTAATTATCAAGAATGTTGAAATATCAGATTTTAATGTTGCTTACAAATGCGCAGGCAGAGATGAAAAGAAGACTGAATATTCCAATATAGCATCACAACCAGAGGTAATAGAAGTGCCGGATCCCAGGTACCCTCTTTGCGAACCTAGAGATCAAACATTTAATGAGAATGCAGAGAAGACACTTAAATGTCGCTCAGAAAGCATTCATCCGGCCGTGACATTGAGATGGTATAAAAACGGTAAACCATTGGACTCAACAACTGACAATGAAAATGATGAAATCATTCAGAAATACACCTTCAATGTTAAGTATGAAGATGCTAATGCAGAATTTGTATGTGTTCAGTCATCAACATCCATACCAAGATTAAATGGAAATTGCACAATTGGCCCAATATATGTCAATTATATACCAAGAGTTACTATTGAATACCGTGGAGAGAAAAATAAGAATGCCATGATGAAATACAATGATGTGAACATTTTGATTTGCCATGCAAATACATCCCATGCAAATTTGGCAACATTTAAATGGACATTTAGTAGATTTTTAAGACCAGGCGTTGACTATACTCTTTCAGATGATAGCCGATTCATGACTTTTACAGCAAAAGATGAGCACAATAAACTCAATGCCAAATGTACAGTAACAAACAGCCTAGGTTCTGGATCAGCAAATATAACTATATTTGTGACCAAACATATAAAGCCAACACCGCTAACATCAGGACCTACCAATCCAGATTATTCATCGCAAGTTCCACCATCATTAGTTGTTGCAATAATTGGCATTTGTACGTTGTTTATCGTCATTATAATGTCATCAGTTTTATGCTGTCTAAAGTTTTATGCACACCGGCAATTCATTAACGCACACATGCGAAGACAGGAGATTTACCAAAGGCACGACCCCTCCATAGGGTGCACAATTGCTCAACCGGAGATATACTTTGAGCCCAAGGATAGTATATCACAGAGTACAAACACATCTGACGGAACAAGTTCAACGAAGAGGTCTATTGGGATACAGGTTTTACCACAGGTAAACTTAGAACTCCAGGACATACATCAGCAGCAGACATTACCTGCACGTTATAGGGGGCGCCCTTTACCGCAGCCAGGAAGACCAAATTCACCAATGGTAGACTGCGGCTGCTCTTTTGTCTAATGCATGAAACAAACAATTTCTCCCCCTAAACTTTCTTTAAATTATAGATTTCTTTTTGCTATTATGAAAACATTATCTTAAAAAAATTTTTTTATTATTAATCACACTACAAATAAATTAAATATACAGTATAATGCTGAAACATGTAAGATAATGGCATGGGCTAAGAAAGCCTAACACCATGTAGTGACCATGCCTTCATTGTTTAAAAAATTCTGTAATACAGGAGAATTTAACTGAAAATAATTCTACAAGCATTTTATCCAGAGCCCTAAAATGCTAAATTAAATTATTAATGAATAAATTTTGTTTATAAGAGATTACTTTGTATTTCAGTAGGTCTATTAATAGGACTTTCTACTTTTGACATTAATCTTGTGAAGTAATACATTTCTGTAATGGCTCGAACTCAAACAAAATATTTTTTTTTTAATTATAAATGTACAGTATTTGTAAAATGTAACATGTAATATTAAAAACATCAAATAAACTGTAAATTAGTGATATTAAAACTTTTACAAATTAATAGGTTTTGAAGCCATCCTAAATACTGCTTGGCCAGCAGCCCACAATATAAAGGTCTTTTAAATATTTTTCCTTTTTAATCTTATGTGAATTTCAAATTGTCAGAATTACAGTATGTTACAGTACAGTAATGTTTATGGAAAGCTATATCAAGAAACCTGATGCTCCTTTGACTATTTGAGGGGTGGCACCAGTGGGTGGGCCATCAGGGACTCCTGGCCCAGCCACTGGGGGTTCATGGTAAAATTTGTCTGGAAAAATAATTAGAATTATTAACCCAGTCTGTGACAGACATTTTGGAACACCTAGAAGTGATAGGAGTGTTGCCCGGTTTTGAAAAAAAAAAAAAAAAAATTGTACTCAAATTGAAATCTGAGAGTGCAGTTTTTTGGGTATTTAGAGGTGACATAACCAAAATATTTCTTACCTGAGCCCCAAATATGGTGGGGATGAGGTTGTCTAAACCCTTCATTTGTAAAAGAGTCCCCTTGTTCCCCCACCCCTATTTTGAATTCCTAGATCTGCCTTTGAAAATCAACTGTCGGTTACACTTCCTGCCATAATATTAGGGCCAGTTGATCTACCAAATTAGCAATCATACTGGAAATATTTGATAGCTATAATCTTTAATACCATAGATTTTTTTTATAGTTTTCCCAGTGGTAACATCTGTGGATGGGCCCAGACCCAGTTGCTGTAGACACCAGGCCCAGCCATTGGGAACTGGTTAAGCATTTTTACAGTTTAGAGGTGCATGTTCTTAAAATTTGCTCCAACAGTGGTGGCTGAGGTGGGTGTGGATCCCTTTACATTAGACCTCACGTCGGGGACTGTGGATCTCCCACATATTTCATTCTGATGTACTGGATTATCTAAGCTACTGTACCTATACCTGTATTTCCTAATGTAAAAAAAAAATCTGCATTGTTTTAAATAAATATATTTCCATAATGTATGCGTGGAATTATATTAGCATGTAAACATTTTAAAGTTAAAAAAATAATTGTTTTATTTCCTAACTTCTGCAGAACATTCAATGTGGGGTATAAGGTCACGGAGTTCGATCATCATATATATATATATATATATATATATATATATATATATATATATATATATATATATACTATTGTAATTCCTGAAGACAAATTATATTTATTATTAGGTATCTACATGTGCATGTGTACTTGGCCCCATCATGTGCTTCTATGAAATTAAAACATATTGCCTGCATGCCAAGCTACCTAAAAATTGACAAACTCATTCTAGAGAGCTTTAGCTATAAATAAAATTTATTTATAAGCTACATAGTATTTTACACTCCTCTGTAACTGAAATGCACAGAATTTTAATGTAGAATTCAAATGTGTTGTACACCCCACCTCTTGAATTCCTAAATGACATGATGCAAAACAATACTCTGAGACTGTTTTTCACATAAAAGAAAAAGCCCCAATTCTCTTTCCTAATTTTATGCACCAACAGCAAACCATCATAAGTTAATGAATTAATTTATCTTTAATTAAAAAAAGGATGCCTAATTGTACAACAACGGACTTTTTATAGTCCACACCTTAGCAACCATATTTAAAGGGTGGGGTTTCATGCTTGGTGTCCTGATTCTGAGGTCTCACGTGACGTTCTTAAAGACAGAATACATTAACATATCTCATAAATATTGATTAGGTAATAACAACATTTCATTAGTCAATTCCACTCGGTACATCATCATCATCATCTTCTTCAGGTCTATCCCCTCAAGGGGGGTCGGGTCATCTCGACACCACTTTCCATTCTCTCCTGTCACCAACTCTGCTCAGATCAACCATTCTACCATCGTCCCGGACATAATCTATCCAGCACTTTCTTGGTCGTCCTCTCTTCCTTCTGCCGACCTCTACCTGCTCCACTGCCATCTGACTAAGTTGTCCTCTATTCTCTTCTCTTCATGTGTCCATACCACCTCAATCTTTTCTCTAAAATTTACAACTTTTACATCCTGTCTTATATCTTCATTTCTCAATCTCTCCTGCCTTTTCACCCCTCTAATTGTTCGTAGACATCTCATCTCTGCCACTTCCAACTTCTTAACGTGCTCTTCTTTCACTGCCCAAGTCTCTGCCCCCGTCTGCCCCATAAAGGGCCACAGGTTTTATCATGGTCTTGTACACCTGTGTGTACGATATTTTCTATTTCCTATGTGTGCATATATTACACCTACGTGTGCATATATTACACAGACACAGGTAAACTACCCAAAATTGACTAATGTCAATGTTTACAAGGTGTAGTAAAACAAGTACAAGATGGTATCATTTTGGTAAGACGATGAATTCTTCTTTCCTCGTTGTTAGTGTGACTACCTCCTGACGGAGGGTAGTCCCAATCATCCAACATCCACCACTTCATCATCACCTCAAACCATGTTGTACTTGTATAATGTACAACCTGACTTCAAAGGTCATGATGATATCATCCCAGTTTTCTTCCCAACAGCAAATATTCTATTATTAACTTGACAAATTACTAAAATTGATATATATCTTGTTTCGGGAAATACTACTTATCCATTTCATTGGTCCGGAAATAACTATCTACTGTAAATGTAAAAAACAGAAACATAATAAAGAAATACCATTGGACGTTTCTATGAACGACAGACTACTGAAATAAACTTGTGAAAATTTGTTTGGAATAGAATGATGTATGACTTTTAAATATACTCAATGTTCTCTACTGGATATCACAAAGATTGAAAATAATGTACATATATACTTTAATAATCTTAATATATATCACAATTTTGTGTACGTTTCTAGATTGCTTGGTTTTTAATAGGACTTTCATGTATAATAAATACAACTATAGTGCAATTTAAAAAAAAAAATTATCAAATATAAAAAGTTTGGGATTTCATTGTACAGGTAGAATATGTCCCTTACTGATGTCTAAAAAATTATATGTTATATAAAAATCATTCATGTTTTTTTGTATTTCAATCAAAAACAAATTATTTGCGTATGCAAACAGAGATGTAATATTTAATATCCAATAAATTTCAATAATGAATAAGCTTGAAATTATCTATGTATGGCTTTTGGTAGTCTATATTCAAGATTTTCAATATGCAAGAAATGAGAGGAAAGGAATATTCCCTAATTCAGATTACTAGAAAAACCTATTGAGTATACTATTATTATATATTTTATTCTTGATATAATATAATTATATCAATATTGCATAATTATATTAAAAATATTTAGAAAATTGTAATGAATTCATTATAAAGAGGTTTTCATTAATGAAACTGTAATGTAAAAAAACTATTATCTCTCTTGTGTATACCCACATGGGATCTATTCATAGAGGTATTACAACAACTAGAGTGCTAACAATGCGATGAAGCAATGCAGAGTTGTATATCAGTACTCATCAAGATGGCTGCTATAGGATGAGCGCTACCTTTAGGCCTAGTTATACAGACTTTAACAGTAAATAACACTAAATATTATTTAATTAATCATTAATAATAATAATTGAAATACTGTACAAACATCACCCTAACACTGCTAGGAAGAGTTAGCAACTCACATAGGAAATCTAACTATGTTAAAAACTTTCATTGTAAGGGCGCAAATTTAAACAAGGCCTTACACATCTGCGGTCAGTTGGACCTAGTCTATGCTGAAAATGGGCTAGGCCATGATGCTTTCCAAAAATAAAACCTCCTGCTCTTCCTTATAGACTTAACAGCAAAATTGCCGATTGCTTAATTATTGACTATAACTGCAGCTCCATCACGACTTGAGCAACTCAAGCGATGTGACAATCACCATCAAAATAAAAACGGTATTTGAAAACGCGTTTGTTGGTGGTGTATTTAATGGGTGTAACTGAAGATCAACTTGGATGTTTTCATTCGGTGTGAATGGGAAATGCATTTGGTGTGAACGGGAAATGCATCCCTTTATCACTCCAGAATTAACTTGGTTTATTCTCACCTTTGGCAGTGTAAAATCAGTATCAGATAGACACTGAATAGTACTGACACACAACTCTGCATTTTTTTAAACATCATATACATTGGAATTAGCTCTATTATTCTTAGATAACTCTATGAATCTATTACACCTACGTTTCTTATGAATCCCTATTTACATGTTCTTGTTCATGTTATCAGTTCTATTGAGTTGGATGGGGTCATCCTCATATAAAAAAAGCTTGAATACAAAGGATATAATAAATATGTATAGAAACAGCTTTATTTTTTGTAGATATGAATAGTTGACTATATTAAATGTAATCTTTCTAACCAAATTCTTAATTTTGGAGAACTATCAATAATTGTGGACAGGAGTAAATCTTTATGTATTGCACTGAAATTAAAAATATAATATACTGGTGATATTTTGTAGCCACTTCAAAGCTTGCATTAGTATTGTTCTAGAAACAAGAAACAGCATAAATGGCTGCGTTCTTCCTGGTTTTGGGGTGTCAAAATGTAAATTTCTTTGCTGAAATATTTCTTAAAATAGCAGCCAAAAACTTTTCTACATTCTGTCAACAATTACTGATGCTCCATTATATATATATATATGTACATACTTAAAAAAAATATTCAGTAAATTGAGTTTATATGGTGCTACATGGTTCTAGCATTCTAAAATGTGTGGTCGAAAAATGTATATGTTGTTCAAATGTTTATTCATTTTATTCATCATCATCAACAATAAAAAAATACAAAAAGCATTAATATAAAATACAATGATGAAAAGGACAACAAAAAAAATCCAAAAAA